TTGCTAAAATGTCTTCTGTCATCTAAACTTCCTTCGTTTTGCTTCTTACCTTTAGTTAGTTACTTTCTGCATTTTTAAAGTGCATTTATTGCCTGGTAAATAACATTGACTGTTTTTCTAATCTACAATAACAGTTTGGTCTTTATTATCTTTTTCAAAATATTGTAAAATTATTTAAATGTTTTTTTATGTTTATTTTTGCATATTTCAAAATGTTTCTTTGAAACATTCTATTTTTTCTAATATTCTTGTTTTTATACTCAATTTTATTATAACAGGGCTGTAATTGGAATAAATATCTACATCAGGACACGTCTTAATAGAATTCTTAAATCTATATTTTATCATAACACAGTCTATTTGGTTCCTTGTTGCATCTTTTGATTTTTTTTTTAAGTACATAATCTTCTGTCTAGTTGCTGGAACATAGAACTAAGTATGGAAAGGTTCAAACTTTTGAAATAATAGAAAGATTCAGGCTCCTCAAAAAACTATCTTATGCCTTACACCATTTTTTAACCTTACAGTAGATATTTTTTACTCTACTTTCACATTTAGATATCCCATAATAATTAGGTTCATAGACTTTGCTTCTTGTATTGTTTCATAAAACTCTTCTTGGTTTGAATGATTTCCTACTGAGAGAATAAATTCAGATTACAAATCTATAATATTACTACAGTGAAAGGTTTGACATCAGTTTTGGTTATGATTATTTTGTTATTTAGTGGCTAGAAGCCAATCACTGTTTATACCAAGTGATTTTTTATGGTAATGGCAGTATTGTTTGTATTGGAAATACAGCTGGAATAGATCATGATATATTTCTCTTCCTTGTGTATGCTGTACTCATCAATGTCTACTTTCAGGGCAACATTTTCTTCTAAAACATTATTAGTTTTTTTCCAGATTGGTGAGGGTTTCTGACATTCCATATGGTTGTTTCAAAAAGATTTGTTCTGATTTTCAAAATACCTATTGGAATACATGAAAAAAATCTTCTCTTCAAGGTTTAAGATTGCATTTACAGCACCTATCTTACAACCAGCATCTTCAGACTCTTTTCTGTACCTTTGTAATTGTGTAAGTTGCAGGCACTCAACTATACTATCTATACTGTTCCTTCTGTTGTTTCCAGTTATGATTGATGATGGGAAAAATAGTGAGGGCCCAAGCCTCTTTCACATTTCATGCCACTGACCAAATCTGATTCGTTCTTCTGTCCTTAGGAATATTTTCTCATTCCCAGGGCCAAGCAAGTGTCCTTGAATTCATCCATACAAGCAGCCATAGAACACACATTTTGCTATTTCTTCCAGATGGTCTGTTGATCTTCACAAATGTCCATTAGAATATCCCGGGGAGTGTAAGAGGGACAGGGGCTTCATTTGTCCCCCAGTAAACATTATTATTTCACTATAATCTATTTATACAGAACCCTTGGAAAAGACAAAGAAGGTAAAAAAGATTATATTAATAAAAAAAAGGATTAGGGCTGCAGTCAGCCTTTTCTATTAGAAGTTGCCCTGATCTATTGGACTGTGCAGTTTGGACTGTGTAGCATTGTACAATAAAAATATTGTTATATGAAACCCACCTGATTTTCAAAATACAAAAGATGTGCTTATCTATTATAACTCTGTGGTTGCATACATATGTTTGCATGGCAGTATGCAAAGCATATTGTATGTGTACACTATAACTTGAATGTACCTGGTTGTTATGCTGGCAATACTGCTGACTTCAGGACGTTAATTTATCATCCTTTTTCCCCAGATGAATTTTTCTCCAGCTTAAGTCAGAAATTTTAATACTTCTGAGTCCTGTAGGGATGTGAAAGCTCAACGAATTGTTTTTCTTCTGAAAGTCTTAGTATCAAGAATGTATTAAGATAATTGAATTTGGAGCTGGAGTGACATAATTTTTTTACACATTGCACTGAACACACACTAATCCATATTATATGTTATAACAAAACATGAAAAATCATTTCTAAATTTTGCAATTGTATTCTTTGTAAAATTGGAATAGTCATATCAAATATGTAATAATAGTTGAGAAAATCAAAATGGTTGGAGGCATCAGGCATGTTTAATTCAGTGAGGAGAAGATACAATAGCTATCTACAAATATGTGAAGAACTGCATGTAGAGATCAGGATGGAATTGTTCAGAGTTGTTCCAGGAGAAGAGAGAGTGGGTTTTAATTACAAGGAAGTAGATTTTGATTGGACAACAGGAAAAATGTCCTTATGGCAAAGGCTGTTCAACAATGGAACAGATGGTCTTAGGACTGTCATTTGATGGAGAAGATGGACTCTGCTTGATTTGAAACATTTAAGCTATAATAGTAGATTGGAATATATGCTCTCCTTTCCTGGCTGTATATTCCATAATTAAGAGAAATTTAGAAAACAGTTGGAGAATATACAGGGAAATATAAATGATGAAGTTCGGGGCCAGACACATTTCAAGTATTGAACTCCTCTTATTTATGGAGCATTCATTAGTCTTTTCAGAGAAATTTAACCATTATGGTTAGTATTTATTTTATTATTTATATACTAGACAATGAATATATCATGAAATAATTTTTCATTACATTAATTTATATCTCACCAAGTTCCTATTGCTGCTTATTGCAAACTTAGTTTGACATAATTTGTATCACATCCCTTAATGTTTTACTTGAACTAGATTTTAGGATTTTCTGGTTTATTTTTATTTTCAATATTTTAGACCACATGAGGTAAACCTATGTAAAATTTTCTCTCTATAAATAGTTTTCCTTTTGTTATGTGCTTTTTGTTTGTAAAATAAAAGGAATGTAATGTATCCTACTTAGTCTTTCAGTTTGAAGTGTTTTCAGTTTTAAACTTTTAAAAATAACTTTGGCTTATTGTGCTAAAATAATGGAAAATACTTAGACATTTACAAAAATATATTTGTTGTGCAGAGATATGGGTTGAATTCATAGCCATAATGAACAGAATTACATGAATTATACTATTAGTGGCACAAATGCTTCATTATGAACAAGTTGATCACAATGAGAGGCAGACTCTGTTTTTCTATTTGCCTGGTCATGTCTTCAAGGATTGTGTAATATACACATACAATATGCTATACATACTGTCGTGCAGAAGTTTTTTTTGTTTTTTTCCTGGGCTTGTGTATCTGTCCTCCATACCTACTGCATGTTCCATGGAAAGACCCATATTTTAAAGGAGATCAGAGTTGCAAAAATGTGTAACATTCATGCTCTGAATTAATTTTTTTTAGAATACAGTCTGAAAGAACTGCTAACATTTAAGATCCCTGCATCACTAGAAAAGGTTGCCTTTTTCATTTCAGCATTTAAAAAGTAGACATTGCATTTTGGGCAAAAGTATTATAGTGACATGGTTTTTTTGTACTGTGTACAGGGATCCATTGTTGTATTTACTTGTTGGTTGTTTTTTTTTTTCATTTATGTAGTCACCCTTCTTATCAAAGCAGCTCTGGGTGATGAATAACATTACAAAGTAAAAACAATATTAAAACTAATAAAACACACAGCACAACATCCAAGAAAAACGACAGCTTGGAATACAGACAAGCAGCAAACAATATTAACCATCTGGGCTTCACTCATTTCCCGTGTCTGAGAAAATAGGCAGGTCTTCAGCATTTTTTGGATGACCAGCGGTGTTGGAGATAATCTGATCTCAGGTGATAAGGTTTTCTGGAGAATAGGTGCCAGGACAAGAAGGCAAGCTTCCTTGATCCTGCAAGCTGTCTTCTTTAATTGACAAGACCTAACATACACTTCCTGTTAGACCGAATAGGATGGCTACAAGCCACTAAAGCAGTGGTTCTCAACCTGTGGGTCGGGACCCCATTTGGGGTCGATCGACCATTTCACAGGGGTTGCCAAGCAAGGCTGTCCGCCATTTTTTTTGTCCGCCAATTTTTTTGTCCACCATTTTTTTCCCCTTTTCCGGCGGGTGCCTTACCTCCCTTGGGCTGGGCCAGCTGGTGGTCGGCCTGCTCTGTCTCTGCCGCTTGCCAGCTACGCCTCAGCCGGCGCAGGGGGCGGAACCACGCATGCGCGGCACTCCCGGGCAGGGAAAGTCCTCGACTTACGACCGGTTGGATAGTCCTCAACTTATGACCGGTTTAGTCCTCAACTTACGACCGGTTTAGTCCTCGACTTACGACCGGTTTAGTCCTCGACTTACGACCGGTTGGGGTCGCGGCATTAAAAAGGTTGAGAACCACTGCACTAAAGGCTAATGATTTGTCGATAATTAAGAAAATACTGGACTGTGTGGAAATGGATAGAGTCACATTGAGAATTAAAGGCAAAGAAGATACAGAATACTTTCAAACATGGAATTTATTCTATCAGTGGTTGGAAAAACAATACAGAGAGTAAGAACTTAACTTTTATGACTAAGCAAAAATCAGCCTAGACAACACGTTGTTCATTAAGCACAAATGAATTGTAATGATAGAAAATTAATAAAATACTTTTTTAAAAAAAAAAGAAAGGAAAAGGAAAATATTTGTTTGTGACTCATATAATAAAATGTGTGCATGAACTGTATAGATTGAAGAATGCCAAATTTCTAGATTCTGAATTTTGCAATAGATTAAAATGAAACCATAAATTGAAGCTCAAATTTAGGTCTAAAGTGACTTCAGTAACAAATGAAACAAATAATAACAATAAAAACCAATAGCATCATAAACAACAAATAATCAATGGAAAATTGATTCATGAAAATAGTTAAATGGAATATAGAAAGTATAATAAGCTGTGCAGTCTTGAATTTAAGAATAATGCTATTTTTAACTTTGGCAATACAAATGGTGTTGTGTGAAATGTGTTTAGCTTATGAAATGTATCTGACAGTTTATAATGTTGTTGGTAAAGATCATTCATGCTATACCTTCAGAACTATGAGTCGACCCCGTAACTTTCATTTTTATTACTTATGAATCATTGTTTATTTTCAGAATGGAATTTTAGTAAAAATAACAGAGACCTGTCCTCCATTGAACTGCTCAGAAAAAGACTATGTACTCCCAGAGAATCAGTGCTGCAGTGTTTGTAAAGGTAAGTAAGATGCTGCATGGATTTTTTGACAATTTAAGCAGTTTTTGAGTAGTTTATTGAATTTAGAGTGGAAGAATTTTATAGGTTCTATGTTGTTTCTATGAACAGATTTTATTTGTCTAAATGGAGTTTCTAGACATAGAATCAGAAAACAACATTATTATTCCACTAAGCAGGGCTTTTTTTATTTTAGAACACCCAGAACGGAGTTCCGGCACCTTTTTTGGATGGAACCTTGTAGGGTAGGCAAGGCGGGTTGTATGAAGTGTGTGAGTTCTGGCACCTTTTTTTTTTTTAAGAAAAAAAGCACTGCTACTAAGAATAAGAAAACCATATAGGAGAACCACACAGGGTTTCATCTTATAGGCATACACAATTTCCCAGCATTCCCCACATCACACCACTTAAATTAAGTTAAAACATAGCTGAATTTCAGAATTTTAAGCTAGAAGGTGCATTTAATGATGATTATGACAATGATTTGCCCCCCAAAAGATCTCTGCTACTATTTCTACCCTAATTCTTTAAAATAAGATATGGGCCAAAAAATGATTCCCATGTGTTTTGATGGCATCATACAATCCCAGTCTCTCAAATGTTGCTGTGTTCCGTGAACGAAGCCTGAAGTTATAATTTTTCCACCCAGTGTGGTTTAAAAACAGCAGAATCACAAAATTATGAAATATATTAAAACATGAGCCATCAAGGAAACATTATTAAGGCCATGCATCAAGAAATCTGTTTATTTTTAACAGCTAAGTTTATCCAAATGCTAAAATAAATAAAACCGTGACACCTATCTAATATCAGCAGGAAATATATTTCTATCAGATGGATGCTAACTGCAGGAGGAACTTGGTTATTAGTAATTATTCATCATGGTTGCATCACAAAGCAGTGGGATCTGTAGCATATAGAGAAAGGTATATGGAAGAAAGCAGTCCTTAAAAACACCCAGATACCAAGCCATTTAGAGATTGTAAAGTAAACCCAAATCTGAACCCCACATTAATCAAAAAAGCCAATTGGCTCAAATCAAAGAAATATATTTATATTACGTTAAAAATTTGGTAGTAATATTTAATTTTCTGAGGCAATTAATAGAATAAAATATGGCAGTGAAAAATAAATGTTTATTTCTACTTAATAACAGCATTTCTTCCAGATGTGTTATTTTTAGTATTGCCATATATAACTATATTTCAGTTAGTGCTCTATTATAGCTGTATTTTGAATTCTGTCGATATAATTTCAGGACTCTCAGGTATAAGGCTGGTGTTTCAGCAGGATTTATAGAATTTTTCCAAACCTAGTCTGAAAGTAGTACATTCATAATTATCAAACACCTCACTTGTAATTTTTTTCCCCATTTTTGTATATAAAAATGATGTATAATAATTCTAAGTATTCAGATTGATATGTAATTATTGTTACAGTTAATTCTCTTTTGCTATTTTTAAAAACTAAAATAACTGAGAGTATAATTTATCTCTGTAAGCCACATGGAGTCAACGAGAATGAGTTGAGCACCCATTTAAATTTTCTTAAAAAATAAATAAAAAATAAATAAGTAGAATAATGCAATAATTTCTTCGTGGCAACCAGAGTAGGTTTTTCACTGTTGCCACAATTTAGGACTGGAGTATGTGTGATAATGTGTGTGTGATAATGTGTGTGTGAAAAAAGTTTTACCACATCATTCTGTGTGGTATTTGGTGTTTTAGAATTAAACATATATCTATTGATCTTTTACAATCTGCTCAGAAATAACTTTCATTGTTATGACTGAGATTTGTGGTCACCTATAGCTGAAATATCTTTAAAATGGGACTTATTTTGGAACAGATTTTAATACGATTGGGTTACTGTCTATATGGAAACATGCAATGAAATGTCTTCTATTAATCCTTATAATTTACTTACATAAAAAGATTTATAATTTATTTGAGTGGCTGCTTTAGGAGACACATTAGAGAGCAGCGTTCTCACCTCTTTGAATTTAGTCCTAAGACTAGACTATTTCTACGGAATACAGTAGACATAAAATTCTAGCAAATTGCTGTGGGAGATATTAAATCTAGTGAACTGTTGTGAGACCTGAATTATTTCTACAACTTAATTTTTATTAAATATTAGATAGATGCTGAAAAATATGAATTTAATCACTCTGCTGCAAGAAATGAGGGTTGCCTACTTACAAAGAATTCTTCCAGACACAATTTTTCTTCTCAGGAACAGCTGTTTGAATTCACATAATGTGCATGTACTTATCTGTCAGGTATTTGTCAGAATGACATGCAAATATGTAAACTAAATGTTTGTGCTGAACACAATAGGAAAGATAGGCTTGTGATGTTTTTTCTTTTTCTGTTTTTAGGAAAGGGAGAAAAAAAAAGTTCTAGTGGCCTCTTATTAGGCGTAACCTTTTCCAAGACTGGATCTTGGGCCTGCCATCATCAATGGAGTATACTTAGAGCAAAAGCTCATTTGAATTTACTGCTTAAACTAAAGTTATCCAGGGTCCCTAGTCCCATTAATTAAAGTATATAAAGCTAAGGTTACCCCTATGCTCTTGTATGGAGCAGAAATTTGGGGTCTATACTCAACCACAGTTCTAGAACAAACACAGTCCCAGCATTTGAGATGTATTTTGGGTATAGATCTAAGAACATCTGCTTCAGCAGTTAGAGCTAAATTGGGAATTCATACAATTGATGCATTATCCAAAATTAGAGCATATAACTACTGGCATAAAGTCAATGAAATGGAGACTGATAGACTCCCCAAGGTATGTCTACTAGAGCAAATAAAATCACAATCACAAATCTCCGGGTCACCAAACTAACAAATTTTGTAAGAAGCTATGGTCTTCCTGACTCTTGCATAACAGGAGTACAATTTAAAAAAAGAGCTGCCCAAAGAATTAAGGATATAGAAACACAAAATGACATAGCTATCCTTAGAAAGGTGGGTAACTTGAAATGGCTGAACAAATACAAACATACTTTTCAAATAGACAGCTATTTGAAGTTACGACTGCCAAAACATCTAAGGAAGATATTTACACAAGCGAGATTCGAACAGCTCGACACAATGGTTAGATATGGGAGATTCCATTCCGTACCCTACAGTGAATGTCTCTGCATTTGCGGAGCACCAGAGATAGAAGATCTGGCTCACATCCTATTTGATTGTTGCATGTGTAAGAAGGTGAGAAACAGGTACCTCACTCTACATACCAAACGAATGATGCATTGGGATCCCCATATCAAAACAACTCACCTTAGGTGCGGCCAGAATCTGAAAATAACATTTAACACAGCACAGTACTTAAGCAAAATGGTCCAGTTGAGATCTGCATATGTGGGAATGATTGGGGTAGATTGCAGGGGTGACACCGAAATATAATTTTATCATATTTTATCTATATCTTAAATTATTGTATTCTATTCCAATTTAATTTTAGACTGTATTTTATTCCAATTTCATTTTATTTTATTCCCATGTATTTTAAATTGTATTTTATCTAATTCCATTTTAAATTGCTTTTATCAAATTTTAGTAATAATTTGTTTCTGGAACTTTGCACTTTGATATGGCCCAAGGGCTAATCAATAAAATAAATAAATAAATAAATAAATAAGGAAAGATAGGCTTGTGATGATTTTTCTTTTTCTGTTTTTAGGAAAGGGAAGAAAAGTGACCTTTTATAAATCCCTTAAATGTTCATGTGTTACACTTCCTTGACAGAAAGGGTAATATCAGCATGATTTTATTAAGTACTTTGCACATATTATATAACTATACGAGCACTTTCAGAATTTTGACTTTGGAATTCTAAACTTTGGAATTTAGATATTTATTTTTAGAAATTAAGAGCAGCCAGAAGGTCTTATAATTCTTTTAATTCAGGGGTCCTCAACCTTGGCAACTTTAAGACTTGTGGACTTCAACTCCCAGAATTCCTGGCTGAGGAATTCTGGGAGTTGAAGTCCACAAGTCTTAAAGTTGCCAAGGTTGAGGACCCCTGTTAATTAAATCTCAGTTTACCACTGGTTGTTTAGCTATGCTTAGTTTCAGTGAAGCAGCACTTGAAGCCACATTTGTGGCTTTTTTAACACTGTGGTGTTAATCACAGTTTGTTGCTTAGATGATACCTCACACAGTCATTAAACAAAAGCAAATATTCTGGTCTTTTCTTCCCAATTACACGAAGAAAGAAAAAAAAAAGGTGTGGTGCCTGAGCTGAAGGTTACTGTAATTTGGGGTGATTGTGAATGTAGTTAGTGAGTCATTCGGATAAATGTTCTCTAGGAGTTTAGAGAAGAGCCTTTTTTATGGTGTCAGACTGATAAGATATTCGGCATTCAAAACACGTGTGGTATTATTACAATCTTTTCCCAATCATTACAGGCATGATTTGACTGAAGACGTTTTAGGATACTTAATGGTGTGAATTTTAATTAGCTTGAGGAATTAAGTAATCTACAATAAGTATAGGCATTCTGGATCTTTGTTTTCAAAATAGCCCCCAAACTTTGCAATATGACAGACTGAATTGGTTGGTTTTTTTTTAAAGTTCTTTTTAGTTGTTTTGAATATTTGCCAGTTTGAAAGTAGGATATTAATGGATAATAAATTGTAATGTTAAATAGTGATTTATTAGTTTTGATACATACATTCATTTATAGATTTATTGTATTTGTTGATTTTAATTCTGCGCTCCCACGAATCTTTTTGCATTGCCATGGATCTTTCTGGATTGTGGTAGTGTAAGTAAAATAAAATAAATAAAAATTAATGGGGACCTTTTTTTTTTGCCCTAATTGACAAATAAACTAGATAGAGTTATCTCTCTAATACAGAATAACACCAGTTTTGATGGTGGATTAAATTGGCATTTTGTCATATGACCTGGGAAATCAAGTATTTTCTGTGGCTGCCTCTGTGCTTTGGAATTTCCTCTTTATGGAGAGGAAATGTATCTTTCTTCTTGGGTTTCAGAAAAAACAGTTAAGAATTGCCTTTCCCAACAGCCTCAAGAAAAAGCTATATAGGAATGTGGAGATGCTCAGGTAGACACATAACTTTGTATGTGTGGTTTTTTTCTTGGTTCTTTTTAATGTTGTTGGAACTTATTTGGGTGGAATATTTATTTTTGTGTTGGAAATGTTCTTTTCATGACATTTAAGTCCAGTTGACTGGAATTCTATTCCAGTTGTTTGAACTATCATGTCCAATTCTTAAATGTGTGAAATAAATATAAATAAATAATATATTGTTGACTGCTTGGAACTTTTCTGAAAGGGCAGCACACAAATAAAGTGAGCAAGAAAGTAAGTTAAATCCAAAAAGGCCTCTATTATTCAGTATTTTCAATGGAAATAATATGCATTACACATCAAGGTAGTATAGTAAACTAAATTTCTCATCCTATTCACACACTATAGCTTGACATTTATAGTTCCAGGCAATCTTTTCTTGATTACCTTCAGGTATGAAATCATAAGAAAAGATATCTGATAATTCAGAATGCTTCCCATAAATGGAATTGTTAGCTCAACAGTTTTGTTTGGAGTGATAGCAGTCATATAAAACAGGGGTGGCAAACTGCGTCATGCCGAAACCGCACCCACCCAATTGCCAGCAATGGAAAAATGTCACGATACATCACGACATGTCATATGATGTTGCGAGTTTGACACCCCTGATATAAAATATTGGAATATAGTGTACTACTACTATCATATAGGCTTTTTTTTGCCTGATTCTTTATCTGAGGTGGCCAAAAGAAATTTGATAGGGCATCAAACAATTGGATTATATGTGAGAAAAGTTATGTCCATTTTAATAAAATCCTTGTCTCATTGAAAATAAGTCTTACTGACCTATCCATGATTTAATGTGCAGAGAGAACCAGTTTGGTGTAGTGACTAAAGTGCTGAGCTAGAAACCAGGAAACTCTGAGTTCTAGTCCTTTTTGAGACATGAAAGACAGTTGGGTGATTTTGGGCCACTCACTCTCTCTCAGCCCAGCCCACCTCACAGGGTTGTTGTGGGGCAAATAGGAAATGGGGGCTTTCAGCATTGTCTTGAATTGACAAAAATAGGAAAAATTAGATAAATAAGATTGGAATCAGAATAGCTTGAAAGAAGAGGTGAGTTGTTAAATTCTTCCAATTTTGGGGGGGATATTAACCCATGTCTAATTTGAGTGACTCCTTTGGAGGACATGGACATAACCAGTTACAATATTCTTCACCAATGTGAAATAAGATTGCCTACCTATTCCCCGGAGCATGGAATTTGATTACTGTTATAATTAGCTTAAAATGATAAATGGGTCATTGCACAGTCAAATAACTTAAAGCAAAATTTAATCTAGTGGAAGCAATTGTAATAAAGATATAAGGATGCCCTCATCAAAGTAAAGCCAAGTGTAGGAAAATTACACTGCAACCTTGATTGAGGTGTGAAGGATTCAGCTGTAATATTTGAAGAGGTCAAAAGCCTAGAATGTAGGGTTTTTCAATAAGATTCACAATTTGGAAATTTCTAAGTGTATTTTAGGATTTATAAAATCATTATTAAATTATTCCATCACTGATATCCATGGCACGGGGTAAGCCAGAGAGGAAAAGGGAAAAAAACATGTTGTAAATGTTTTATATGTTCTTCAGCAATTCCTGTAATATGAAAACTCATATCAGGCAAAACATTTTTGCCATACAAGCATAATTGTGAGAAACTGAATGCATTTTTAATAAAATGTCTATGATGTTTCAGTTTTGATAACTTGTACATCAAAAGAGAAAATTAAAATCTAGATAAAATTACTTTTTTTCTGAAATCCATGAAACAAATTGTTTTGACTCCTTTACTTTTCATTTCAGGGCCCCAAAGGCAAGGGGTAATAATCATTGCTGCCTATTTATTGCCATTCAAACTACAATTTAATTAGTCAAGGGAATTATTCTTAAAATTTAAAATGGTCCTGAGAGTAAATAATGGAAAGAGTAGACTGGGATTCAGGAGGAAGCAGTTGTTTCACTTGACCTAAGCTCCTAGGTCAGGGGTGTCAAACTGCTGGCCTGTGGGCCGGTTTCATCATACTGAAGCCGTGCCCACCCCATTGCCAGCAATGCAAAAAGAGTCGCAATATGTCGCAACAAGTCACGTGACGTGGCAAGTTTGACACCCATGTCCTAGTGGTTAACAGAGGAGAACAGGTACCTGAAGAAGTGCTGGCAAGGTGATGGAAGCATGATATTATGTGCTTGAGGCAAGTTCATGTAGTAGTTCATGCAGTAGTTTTGGCTTTGTTAATGGAGTTGGTATCTACTAGCCTTCATCCAATGATTTGGGGTCAGATGTTGCCAATATGCTAAAATATTCAGTTGTGTGTGTGTGTGTGTCTAAGTAAGAAGAATGGGTTCAAATTTGACTCTAGTAAGACCAAATGGCTTTGGGTGTTTGGAACTCCTATCTCTAGTTCCAATATCTAAAGAGTTGCCACAAAGAATTCTAGTCTCCAAAGCACCTGAAGGCAGGACAAGAAGCAATGGATGGAAACTAATCAAGGAGAGAAGCAACTTAGAACTAAGGAGAAATTTCCTAACAGTTAGAACAGTTAATCATGGAACAACTTACCTCCAAAAGTTGTAAGTATGCCAACACTGGAGGTTTTTAAGAAGAGATTGGACAACCATTTGTATGAAATGATATGGGGTTTCCTGCCTGAGCAAAGTGTTGGACTAGAAGACCTCCAAAGTCACTTCTGTTATTCTGTTAATTTTGAAGGAGGTTACATGTCTACATTTGGGAATAGTGCACTGTTGGTCCCCCCCTCCCCCGGACTTGTAGTTTCTGCTGAGGAGCACTTGGCAGCTGTGGCTGGAAAGGCCTTTGCACAGTTTCATCTTATGGAACTGCCCTTTGCTTACCTCATACATGGACTACTGCAATGGAGTTGGCATTGAAGAAACTGCAGCTGATTCAAAATATAGTGGCATGGGCAATAATGTTAACAGTGGTTATTGGTGGGCTTCTGGGAGCAATTGAAGATGCTGGTTATCTTCTCTAAAGCCCTTAATGCATAGAACCTGGCTTTCTAAACTTTCCTTTAATGTCTGTTCATCCTGAATGGGTTCTGTTAATGTATATTAATAGATGTGGGCATGACTCAATAAAGTACATCAGACACTCAGTAATATATACTTGTAGCAGCTAATTAGAATTCCCTCAAATAAGCAGCCAGGATGAGGTTGAGGTACATTATAATTTTGTTATTAAAATGGTTTGATGAATTCCAGAATAAAGTGGTAGGAGATCCTTTTATCTCTGAGGGACCTAGGAAAAGCAAGGCATATCAGTTTAGTATATATTGTAAGTAAATGGCATGCTCAGGGGAAGAAAGTCTATGTGCTCTATTAAATGTGTATATTAATCAGTAATATCTATCTTCAGATGCCTTAATATGAATAAATGAATTGCATAAATGATAATTTAACAGTTAACTTTTTATTCCTTACAGATTAATTCAAAAGGAAATGCATTTCATTTTGCAGGTCATAATTTCTGTGCACAGGGACACCGATGTGGTGAAAATTCAGAGTGCAGAAACTGGAACACACGGGCTACTTGTGAATGCAAAAGTGGTTATGTTTCTGTCCAAGGGGACTCTGCCTATTGTGAAGGTAAATAATATGCTCCTGAATGTAGCTTGATTATAATCTAGTGAGAAATACTTAGCTGAAACAAAGACCATGCAGAGTGTCTCATTATGAAGTTCAGTCTTCGCGACAGCACTAATAATATTGCCCATACTTGATTTTTTTATTTAGAAAATGCAGATGATCCACAGAAAAGTTTATTCTGAAGTTCCCAAGTGACAGATTTGCTTCTTAACATGCAAAAGTGCTATCTCCTGGCCTGTTTAGCTTTGTCATACAGATGTCAAGGATGCTGCTTATTACATTGATAAAAAGAATAGTGTGCTTGAGAAATCAAATCAATGTCTCTTGAAAAATGATAGAAGAATCATGTGTGACTTCATTGGATACCTTGGGAGATTTAAAGCTTACTGAAAGTTTCTCTGAATAATTTGTTTTTAATGACTGAGATGTCCCTTTATGTACTCATGGAAAAATATTGAAATAAATAGTTTTGGCATTATGAGTTGCATATATGCAGGGCTAGCTGGGCTGAAACATGCAGAAAGGTATATATTTGTTTATTTGTTAAATTTCACTGATATAGCAACTCTGCTTCATTAATACCAACTTCATTCTCTTAATTGGATTCCAAAGACTAACTGGGTTCCCAGTTAGACATGTGCTTAAAGCATTTACTACTTTGCATCTGGTACAATCATACTCAATGATATGCTAGTGGGTTGCACTGAAATAAATTCTGTATGGTTTTATACTTTATACAGAACATAGGATATCATCAGTTGTACTATTCTAGCACCATTTAAAAGCTAGCCTTAGCATATGGTTTAATCGTTCCTCTGGAGCTTACAATGACTTTAATTTCAGCATAAGTAAATTTCTTCTGATTCTAAGTGGTATTGTTGGGCAAGACTTCATTTAAAAAAAATGGTTTAATGTTAAGGCCCATGTGAAACTCATCAGTAAAGAGATTTGTGCCATGGAGGTAATGTGGTTCTCTATCAAAGCAAAGAACCTAATATGGTTCCTTGCCCAAACCAGAAAGGTGTCTGTGCAGATGTTGCACTGGAACAAAAGTTTCCATTCTTGGCAAGAGCAGATTGGAGAATAACTTAGAAGAAAAGCTGGCTCAAAAACAATATAAGATCTCAGTTTGGACATTAACTTCAGATTAAAGATTAATCTTCAGACATTAAATTCAAATCAATTGAACTGCTTGAGGATATCCAGGTTATTATAACTCAATTCATGATATGAGCATCTAAGCAATCCCGATATTCAGCACAATTTAACGTCCAATAAGAGGCTTGAGCTGCTGTGGTTATATAATTATTTATATTTTGCTGTAAATTGATAATAACAAAATGCAATTATGAACTTTGACCAGCATGAAATAGAAATAACTCTGCTGTAAAAATCTTAAATAAAATTATTATATGAATAAAATGCATAGTTTAAATAACTATTTAAAGCAATTTAAAATATAATTTATGATATTTGATATTATAATTACCAATTAGAAATAGGACAAGGAGAACATTTTAGGATTACAATACAAGTAGAATGAAGGTTAATATTTATTATATAAACCAACAGAACAATTGGTACCTGTTAGTGTCCTATATAGACTGATATGCTGCAGAATAAGATTTAGCAACACTATGTGTTATAAAAAAATTACTATAAGAGAGAGAGAGAGAAAAAAAAGATGTAAAATTGGTTTGAGTGACCAGGCATTCCAGACAAAAGGGGAAAAATAAGGATATTACAAATATCTCTATAAACTGCTTATAAAGTGATTTTTTTTTCTTTAGAAGCACTATACCTTTTACTTTTTATATATTGTCAGAAGAAGCATTCACTTTGCTGTATGCCATTTATTTGTAGTATTTATGAATTTCATCTTCATGGATCTTTCTTTTCATTTCTTATAAATGCTGTCTTTAAAATTGATTCTGAGCTTCTTTCTTTCCATCTATAACTGAGATGACAAAGAGACACTTACCTGACAAGAAGTTAAAATGTACTGTGGAATAAGAAAAAAAAAGAACTGTGGTTTGGTAGAAAGAGAGGGGGGAGGGAATCAGAATAATAGGAACTGCCATAAAGCTGTTATTTCCCATACTTTTGAGTAATGGAAATCTATGGTTTTTCATACCTTTTTGAAATGAAAATGACCATTACCATGCGACTCATGAGTAACAGCCCTTAAATTATAATAGTAGCTTCTGCCATAGGAAAAGTGTATTCCATAGGAATTGTAAGTCAGAAATTGCTCTATCAATGTTGCAAGAATTCTTTTCAAATTAATAAAAGACTGTAACACTTTTTGGCAGCAGCTCAATACAGATTCAGATAGACTGTATATTTATTTCCTTCAACTACTTGCAGTTGTTCAATTTAATTTGTTCGTGTCTATTTTCTTTGAAGCATGTCAAATAAAGCTAGGGAATCTTCTTTCTTGGATTTTGTGGAATCTGACAAGAATTTAAGGGCTTTAGCTTAAAACTTTCACTGGTAGATATTTGCAGTTTTGGAAGAGAAAATTTTAGCACTTTGATTAATATACCAATTGTAGCTAACCATTATGGCAAATGGCTGGGGAGCTGATTTTTATAACTAGTTTGTGTTTTGCAATGGTGGAAAATATCTGTAGCTCGGGTGTAGGATGAGGGTGAAGGTTCATTTTCCAAGCTTGTGGGTTGGTTTCAGAACATTTTGTTACCAGGCTAGGTAACATCTTCAGCGGAGTTTAGAGGATGTCAGTGTTTATAAGGGCTTCAGGTGTGGGTGTGTCGAGTAAGGGTCTTGTGATGGGTCAGGTGTGAGTCATCAGTGAGTCTTGTGATGGGTCTTGTGATGGGGAGGTTACATCATGTCAGGATCATTGGGAGGTGAACCGCTGGTGGGGGAGAGGGGGCTTGTGTGGGTTGGTTAAGGGTCACGGCTGTCTCTGGTTGGCTGTGCAGTTGATTTGGATTCTGAGGGGTTCGTAGGCTGGTTGTAGGTCAATGTGTCTGTTGATGGAATTGCTTGTGGAGTGCCAGGCTTTGATGAACTCATGAGCTTGGTGGGTGGTAGTGTGGCCGATGATTTTTGTGTTGCTCCAATCAAACTGATGCTGTTTGGTGTCGCAGTGAGTAGAGATTAAGGATTTGGGATGGTGGCGTTTGACTGCCAACCGATGTTCGTGGATCCTGGTTTGTAATTGACGTGATGTTTATCCCACATAGAATTGGTTGCAATGGTTACAGTTGATTTTGTACATTACATTGTTTCTTTCATCCTTCTGTATCTTGTCTTTGGTTCTGGCTAATTCCTGGCAGAGTGTGGCTGTGGGTTTGTGGGCTATTGCTATCCCTAGGGGTTGGAAAATTCTAGCTGTCATTTCCGACAGCCCTTTTGTGTATGGTAAGGTTACTTTGTGTTTTTCAGAAAGGATTTACATTTGGAATTAATTGATGTAAAGTGAAGGGGAATACCAAGCTCTAGAAATATTAACAAGAAAGATGTCTGATAATTTTAATAGGATATAGTGTAATGGATGCTAGGTTGAAGAAAACTTTCTCTGGATATGTGATGGGATAAGTAACTTATTCCCAAAATATACTAACCAGAAGTGGATGAACCACTATGTCAATTGCCTGTAGTTCGGTTTGAGGCTATGGACAGTAATGTCTTTGGTATACAGTTTTCCAATTCTTTTTCTTTTGAGTATGAAATCAGGCTGACCTTGTTTCTTATGTACTTCAGCATTCACACCATTTACCATGTTATTTCAGCATCATTTCTAGTGTTGTGCATAAGGTTTCTTGGTTACTTAGGAGATGCTAGGTTTGAGGGATGGAGGAACAGAGTAGATTGAAACAAACCTGGAGTATCGGACATAAATTCTTGGTTTGACCAATTGTTGCAATCCAGCCTCACTAGGAAATGTATGGAGGGAATTGTATTTGCTTTTCACACTGACTCAAGAGCACAGAAAGCTCTTTTCTTAATATTTGCTATTTTCTGCTGCTACATTAGGCCGGTGGTCTTTGCTCATTTTTCTTACTAGTGACTTATAACATCTTCTAGAGTCATTCAATCATTGTTGTGCCAAAATAATAGTAATGTAGACAGGCTTTCTATCATATCAATGGTAGCCAGGTGATGCTATGAAGTTGTTATAAGTCAATGTGGAGAAATGACTTTAGCTTGTATGCTGCGTTTTCTCACAGTGTAATAGATATTTTCATAAAGTTAAAACATAAATCTCTCCACCAGTAGCTGCAAAAGAAACTACCATTTTTCTACCGTTTAAATCAGAATTAATATTTCATTGAAAATTGGAGGTTTCCTCATAAGATTAACCAGTGTCCAATGATGTAATGTTTACATTTCTGTTTTTACTGTTTAAAAAGTGTGCTGCTAATTGCATATATATTACAAAAAATAATATATAAATTTGCTATTCTATATTCCTTCCAGTTGGTTCTTTTAATTCTCCCTGACTAGAATTTGAAATCAGAGAAGGAATATCTTCAGTGATAAAAGTTTTTGTTGAAGATAATCTATGATTTTGAAAAAAAATCCTATTCCTATTCAAAACTGATGTCCTTTACATGCCCCACAAATGTCAAAACATTCAGTATATTTTTTTAGTAGGAGTCCACCCATGCTAGTTGTTTCTTCAAAAACAACAATAAAAAGATATATTATTGCTTGTCCTAGGATTTTGATTGCTTATCAGATCCTCCCCATAACAGCTTCTGCAACACAGAGAGATCTTTTGAGCTAAACTCAACATCTGACATAGATATCTATGTATTTTCCTTGGCAGCAATATAGAAGTAGTTTGCCACTGTCTTCTTCAGAATGTCTTGGCATTTCCCTATCTTATAGCTGGTAGTTCCTGAAGATCCCCTGTCCAAGAACTAAGCAGATCTGGATCTGTTTAGTTTTTGAAATCAGCCAAGCTCAGACATCTACCAAATAATAATCAATGCTAGAAATCTTTATGGTTATGAATGATGATGATAATA